CTGACATGGAGCTCCACTTTGCATATGCTGGGTTTAGGTGGGTACACACACACACACATACACACACACACACACACACACACACACAATGAAGCTGCTTTGTATGTGTGTGAGAGAGAGACACACACAATGAAACTGCTTTGTATGTGTGTGAGAGAGAGACACACACAATGAAACTGCTTTGTATGTGTGTGAGAGAGAGACACACACAATGAAACTGCTTTGTATGTGTGTGTGAAAGACACACACACACACACAGACCCTCCCCCATACAGAGAGAGCTCATTCGTATAGCCTAGGCTGGCGTCAAGCACACTATGTAGCCTTGATTTCCCAATCCTCCTGCCTCCCAAGCTAGAGTGACAGGCGTGTACCACCGTGCCCAGTTGGAAGGTGTTTAGATGCTCCACAGTTCTTGTGTGTAGTATGACAATCCACCAAGCAGCAAGCCCAGAGACCAACGGTCATAATGCTGACAGTGACAGTGATCACAAGACCCCCTCTTCCCTGCCCACTCCTCTCTTCTGCATAGATGAAGCCATTTGGTGAAAAGGGACCTGTGTGCTGGGCCCCAGAGCAGAGACTCTGACCATGCCAGTCACCTAGGCCTAGTTTGCAGTGAGCTTATGACTGTGGCTGCCTATTGGGCCACCTCTGCCCCTCTGTTCAACCAGCCCTGGACTACAGTGGTCAGGACTCCTGTTCCTTCTATCTGGGACACAGAACCAGGCTGGAGGAGCTGGCCCTAAGACCTACCAGTCCCCATTGGCCATCCCAGGCCACTGGAGAGATGAGCAGGCTACAGGAGACCTGGTCCTCTTCCTGTCCCTCTCCCTGTTCTTCTCCCTTTCATGGAATCCAGGCTCCGGACTGGCCACCACATTTGCTAGGACTCCATTCAACATGCACCAAGAACTTGGGATCCCTGAAGATTTGGGACACACCCCCACTATGTGCTGTCTGTCACTGCATAAATTAAACTGTCAGTCTCAAGGCTCAACTGTGAGAGCTGCCACTGGGGCACTATCCTGAGCATTGAGTGTGTGTGTGTGTGTGTGTGTGTGTGTGTGTGTGTGTGTGTGCTGGGATGGCTGGGGGTAGGGACTTCTCTCAGAGAAGGTCTGGGAAGGTGAGCAGGAGGCAGCCAGGTTGGAAGGAGAAGAGTGGGCTGAGCAGAGGAAATAAATCACCTTCACAAGCCTCCATTTTTCCATCTGGAAAGTAGACCTGCACTCCTTGTTGCCTGGCCTTGTTTGGAAGATTTAGGAAAGCTCAGGCCTGGTGCTTGGCCCCCAGCAGGTATACCCTAAAGACAGCCAGTCTTCCCAGGGCCCAGGAAAACCGGATGTTTGTGGAGGATCCTCCTGAGTTTGGAGTCTCCAGAGGCCACCTGGGCTCATGGTTCTTGGCCTGAGTACTTCTTTCTAGTGTCTGGAGATAATTTCAGTGGCTGTCACTTGGGACAAGAGGGTGGAATGCTGCCAACTGGCTGTTACCCATGTTGCAGTGCCCAGAGTGTCAGGCCTGACACTGTAGGGAAACTGAGGCACAGTGGGGTTGGATTCCTGGAGGGCCCCTCCCCTAGCACTCCAGGTTGGAGCCAGGAGCACAGGCCCACATGCCCTGGCAGCTGGCAAACCTGCTGGTAGGAGTGTATTGCCAGCAACGGAGAGGGAGGAGGCCGGGGCTTGTCGACACCTGATCCTGGCCCAGGGTGAGAAAGGAGCTATGTCTCTGTTATTAGGGTGTGGTCATTAGGGGCTGTGGGGAGGACCAGAGTGGAACCACCTCTTTAGCCAGCCAGTGGTGCACAGGATTGGAAGGTGGTGTGAACTCTTGGTCTTCAAGTTGGCAATTTGCAGTGTAGGTTAGTAGCCCAGAAGCAAGCTGGTGGTCAGAGAACCCCAGGCTTCCCCCCTCACCTCTCCAGCAGAGGCAGGTGCCCCCCTCCTCTTCTGGAGGCCGAACAGTGGGTTACATAATGTTTGGGTTCAGTCGCTTTTTCCAGTCGCTGACATGGGGGTGGTGCAGGCTGGATCCCGTCCCAGAGGAGAGATTGGGAAGTGGGGAGGCTGGGAGGTAGGAGCCCTGTTTCTGCTAATAGGCTGGGTTACCTAGAGCTAGCATCTCTCCTTCTCTGGGCCCCAGTGCCTCACAGTTGTCTTAATACACGCAGAGTTAGTTTGCTATCTTTGTACATGGAGCTCTTCAGTTTTGGCTAAGGTCTCTGGAGGATCTTGTCCATCAGGCTCAGGAAAGGGACCTGGACACCTGAGCTCTTGCTCCTGATCCTGTCTGGTGGTTTGTGAGTTCATTCACCTCACCAGATGGACATTTTCTGAATGCGTGTTATGCACCAGGCTTTGTGTGGGGTACAAGGTCATTGGTGTTAGGAAACTTGTGGTCTAGTCTGGTCTCAGTGCAATCTAGTGCAGGCAGGTGGGATGGAGCGTAGTCCATGTCCTGCGGAGGATGAACAGGAAGGCCCAGCAGCAGAGGAGACCCCCTTCCCTCAGACCTGGGCCACGGCCTCCTTCTGAACTGAGTCCTGGCCTGTGAGTAGATTAGCCTGCATTAGAGAAAAATCCACTTGCTGTCATAGTCAGTGGCCAGACTAAAACAGTGGGACAGGGAAAGGGCACAGCTTTCACACCCAAGCCAGCTGGAAGGGTAACCACGGGGGGCATCTGGCATGGAGGCTTTGGCTAAGGGTCAGGCAGGACTCTTACCCTAGTGTGATAGACAGGCTGATGCCAGGCGGCAGATCAGGGTGAATGGACAGCAGGGCTCACAGGGGACTGAGCACCATGGGGTGTGGAAGGTGCATGTTGGGGCTGCAACCCACGCTGGCACCCTCCTGGGCTCCTGGAATCACTTTGTGGGGGTGGCTTCTCACCCCTCCTGTTGATTGGGTGGGGCCTCAGTGACAACCTCTGTGTCGGTGACCGGGTACTCCACAGAGGCTGGCACTCTGCCATGCTACCAGCCCGTGACTTGATGGCAGAGCCAGTTACTCCCCCTGGTACAGTGTGGGGAGTCTCCTCCATCTGGATGGTGGCCCCTCTGTGCCTCCTGCAGGGCTGGGCCAGGAGATCCCCCTGTGCCCCCCTCCCGCCTTTGTAGCCCTGACCTGGAACTCACTATGTAGACCAAACGGGCCTCAAACTCACTGAGATTCACCTGCTTCTGCCTCTCCCAAGTTCTGGGATTAAAGGCATGTGCCACCATACCTGGCTTTGTTTTTATTTATTAATTATTTGTTATTATTATTACTATTATTTAGACAGGGTCTCCCTGTAGCCCCAGCTGGCCTGGAACTCACTATTTACTCTCACAGAGATCCGTCTGCCTCTGCCTCTCAAGTCCTAGGATTTAAAGGCACGAGCCACCACACCTGGTGTGGTTTCACTATGTAGTCCAAGGCCTAGAACTTGCTATGGAGCCCAGGTTGACTTTGAATGCCTGATCCTCTTGCCTCAGCCTCCTGAGTGCTGGGATTACAGGGGTGCACCAACTGTTTGAGCTTTCAAGTAGCATGCAGCACTGTGGAAAAGTTAGAAGAGCTGTGGGAACATGGAGGGGAGGTCAGGTGACATCCAGTGGGTGTGTCCAGCACAGATCCTGGAGGCCTGGCTCTGGATGGTCTGGGGATTATGAGCTCAGCCCAACTTTTCATTCTGGCCTGGGAAGTCGGAGGGAGATGGCCTCAAGGGAGGGAGCTGGGGGCCAGGGTTGAAACTACAAGGCTCAGTGTCTGGGTCCCTCGCTGTGCTGTGTAATTTGCTTCTCTCTGATGTGACCTGTCAGCTTGGCCCACAGGTGCCAGGAGTTTCAGTGGGCCTGGGGACAGTCCCTGCTGGTTTGATGTGGGGATGCAGACTGGTAGAGGACAGGTGACTCCGGGAGGGGAAGGCAGCTCACATCAGGCTGTGAGTCCTGTGGGTGGCTCTGGACAGAGGGCTTCATCTGTAAAATGGGATCGTTGGCCTGCATCTCATGGCCTGTGACCAGCTCAGTGAGTAGGAAGAGTCACAGTGGTGTGAAAATCTTCTAGTTCATGACGCCCAGAGTCCTCTGACCTTCCTTCCCATAGGTCACGAGGGGACAGAATCCTCTCACCTTCCTTCCCATGAGTCACAAGTCAGTGGAAAGTCAGACCCAGATTCTCTAAGCATTTGACACTCACATTCCATCTTCAGTGCTATGCCAGGCTGAGCTGCAGGAGCCTCAATTTCCCCATCTTGAAAATGGGCTTCTTCATAGGGCTAGTAGAGTAGGCTTGACAGAGTCCTTGATCTAGATGCGATGGCCAGACAGTACAGAGTGGTGATTTTTAAATGTTTGGTCCTGGGGTGAGACGTGTATCAATTCACCCAATTCTAGCATGATAACTGTTGCTTTTCAAAGATGATGATACAGAGGCTCAGAGAGGTGAAGGCTTTTGCCCCAGGGTTGCACAGTTAGTGAATGGCTAAGTTCCAGACTGGAATTTGGCCTACCAAGCCATACTGTCAGTGGCCTAGGTGTTGAGAGGGTCTTGTGCTGGGCACTGGGATAAGAACAGGCATAGCTAGGTCCCACAGGGTCCTCTGAGTTCCCCTAGGGTTCTGGTGGGAGTGGGATGGTGTGGTGTGGTGGAGAAGCCAGATGCCTCTCTGTGCGGTGCCAGGAGGGAACAGCCTTTGAGCCAAAGTGAGGCTTCCTGGATGTTGCCCTGTGGAGTGCAGGGCAGAGAGGCCGGGTGCTCTGTGTGCCACATCCAGATAAATTCTTCCCTAAGCAGATAAGGCTCAGAGAGGTGAAGTCACTTCTCCAAGGTCACACAGTGAGACACAGAGGTGTGAGTTCATGCCTATGACATCTGGTCTGTTTCAGAAGACTGTGTGACACTGTCCTGAGGCCCCGCCTCTTGGAACAAGGGGTTCGTGGTTTTCCTGGGGCTTGGGCCGAGGCTCCTGGCTGTGGATGATGCTGTCTCCTGTCTGCTTTTCTGTCCCCAGGTACAAGGGCTTCATTAAGGACTGCCCCAGCGGGCAACTAGACGCGGCTGGCTTCCAGAAGATCTACAAGCAGTTCTTCCCGTTCGGAGACCCCACCAAGTTTGCCACGTTTGTTTTCAACGTTTTCGATGAGAACAAGGTGGGCTGCAGATTGAGGCGTCTGCGCCAGCCCTCCTCCCTCCATCCTCCGTCCTCCTTCCTCCCTTCTACAGCCCTCCTCCCTCCTCTGTCCTCCTTCCTCCCTTCTACAGTCCTCCTCCCTCCTTCGTCCTCCTTCCTCCCTTCTACAGCCCTCCTCCTCCTGCAGTGGCTCAGATCAGCAGCCCTCACAACTAACCCTCTCCTGTTCTGGAAGGACCTAACACTTAAGTGCACATGGGCACAGCTGCACACAGAGTTGTACACACAACCACACACACCAAGGTAAATCAAGATGGATGCATGTGTACAGGTGGGCACACCCACTCACCCATGTGCTCACACACACACACACACACACAGCACTTGTGTAACTTACATACTCAGTGTTTCACATGCATACGTGTAAATACCCAGACTTGCACATGCAAACACACTGAGTTGCATACATGTGTGAAGGCATAGTGTGTACACACATGTGTACACATGTGAACACACATGCGCACACACGTAAGCTCTGAGTTTTCTTAGGAATAAAAATGCAGATGCCTCCAGAGATAGTAAGATGATCAGTGGTTATAACAGGTGTTCACTATGAGCTCTGGGTGGGGTTAATAACAGCCTGATACCCATCTATTGGGTGGGCATTTATTTTATTTTTGTTTGTTTTGCTTTTGTGATTTTTTTTTTAATCTTTTTTTGAATTTTTTTTTCTTTTTTAGACAGGGTCTCCCTGTAGCCCCAGCTGTCCTACATAGTGGAACTCACTATGTAGACCAGGCTGGCCTTGAACTCACAGAGATCTGCCTGCCTCTGCCTCCCGAGAGCTGGGATTAAAGGTGTGCACCACCACACCTGGCCTTACTTTTGTTTTTTTTGAGACAGGTGACAGGGTTTTATGTAACCCAGGCTGGCCTTGAATTCTCTATGTAGCTGAGGCTGGTCTTGAACTTGTGATCCTTTTGCTTCCACCTCCCAGGTGTGTGCCACCATGCTGGCAGGGTGGGTGCTTTTAACAGGCCCACTTTGCAAATAAGGAAACTGAGCCTTTTGTGCCTGGCTTCTTCACAGAGTACCACTGAGCACAAGTTTTCAAGACTTGCTGTGTGGCCATGCATATCTCCTGACGCTGCCCATGCTAACCCAGCAGCTGGTCTGTCTGCATTTGAGGTAGTCAGGCTTGCAGACTGTCCCCCGGTGGCACCTTCTTCCCAGCTTCATAGTATTCCTGGAGGTCCTGTCACTCACCCTGGACTCTCAGCTCTGGGTGGCTTAGGTGACTTCTATTGCACCACCTAGTTCTCTCTTCAAGTGTCCTGACTGGGAGTCCCCCTGCCTGGCTCTGGGAAGGGTTCTGCCCTCCCTGGGCCTCAACTTCCTCCTTTGTAAATCGCATATGTAGAGCTAAGTCACCTGTAGCATTGTCTGTCCTGGGGGCCCAGCGAGCTCTGCCCTCGGTTTCCTGGAGTCTTGGGGCAGGAATGTGAGGGCTTTGGGCCCAGACTGCATCAGCTTCTTGCTTACTCTCTCCCCTCCCCGTCCCTGTCTCCTGACTGTCCCCCTCCCCCAGTCTCCACCTCCTCTCCTCCTCTCTTTCTCCTGTCCCCTCATTCCTTCACTCCTCTATCTATGGGTGTCCATCAACCACGGCTCAGTGTCTGCCACTGCCCTACCCCTTCCCTACAAGGTCTGGCTTGATCAGGTAGCCTTTGCTGACTGAAGCCATCCCCATTGTCTCCCTCAGGATGGCAGGATCGAGTTCTCAGAGTTCATCCAGGCGCTGTCGGTGACCTCACGGGGGACCCTGGATGAGAAGCTGAGGTGTAAGTACTAGGCTAGAAGGATGCAGTTCTCAGTCTTCACCAGGAGGGGGTGCCAGACACCCGCAGCAGTGACTGCAGGTGGCATCTGTACTGCAAAGACAGGGTGCTCCCAGAGGTCTTGGCAGTGGGCCTGCACAGGTGCGCCTAATGTGGCCAAGGAAGCTTCAGGGCCAGAGCAGGGAAACATCCTACCCTCCCAGGGCAGACCAAGGGCCCAGAGGTGGGATTTGGGGTTTCTGAGGCAGGGTGCACAGGGAGGCCGGTGGGATGGGCTGAGAGCAAGTATGATCAAGCAGGTACAGTCCTAGGACAGCTGATGTTGTGGGTGTTGGGGGGGGTCACAGGTCCCAGATTCCTGCTGGACCCACCTCTTCAGTCAGCCAGATGGCTCCCATCACCCACTCAACAAATACCAGTTGAAGGTGGTGGCCACCTGTGGTACCAGGCAGGAATTCAGGGTCTTTGGGAGGCTAAGACAGATGGGTCCCTGTTGTGGGGGCTGCCAGTCTAGTACAGCCAGACCCAGTTCCCAAATCCCCTAATGCTGCTTGGATGGCAGGGAGAGGGAGATGCCAGCTGAGCTGGCAGGGGAGGAGCTGATGGACCCAGAGGGGGGCTGCCATGGCAGAAGGGGGCTCCAGGCCAGGAACCGCATGTGAGAGACACTGGGAGGGGAGCCACTGAGGCCAGGATGCGCACGCCCCAGGTGGCCCCTGGCTGGGGAGACGTACAGGCGCCCTTGCTTGCTTGAGTGTTTTACTTTTTTCCACTGTTGCATTATTTTGTTGTAAAATTGAAACCACAAAGGTCAAGTCGAGCCCTCGAGTTGCAAAAGCAAGAGGCTTTTATTTTACACAGGTACCTGTGGGCACAGCTCCTGACAAAGGGAGAAGCGCGCCCCAGGTCTGGGGTTTGGGGTCTTTATAGAGCAGAAGCAGCTTACAGAAGCAGAAGCGTGGTTATTGGTTAGTTTAAACTATTACAAAATGCTATAGGGAGAGCGGGGGGGCTTACTTATCATTAAGCCAGATGTTTCAACCATAAAACTTACTTATCAGTGAGTTGGAGATGTCTCAGCCATGAAACTCACTAATTAGAGAGTTGGCCATGAAGCTTACTTATCGGCAAGTTGGAATTCTTGACCAGCACATGACCTGCCTGAGACGTGACTTGTCTGAGAGGCTTCATGGCTCCTGACTTTTATATTTTTCAATGTCATTGTGGTAAAGAATAGTTTCCAGCTGCTAAATTAACTTTCAATCATAATCTCAAATACATTTGTAAGATGTACATACTTTCTCAGGGTATATTTACATCAGTGGCTCCAGTGGCTCATCTCCTTGTGAGGTAGTTAAGGCAAGCTCAAATGTAGTGCCTGGAAAATAAGGTAGGACTCCAAGCTTGGGCTGTAGGCTTTGGGGGCTGAGAACCTGATTTGTAATCTGCAATTGT